CCCACTCCCGGACGTGGACCTGCCCCACAGCACACAGCCAGCGCCTGTTCTCTGAAGCTCGTGGGCCGCCCCAGGTGGTCAGGGCTGTGGAGAGGGGAAGGAGCTGGGGGCCTGCCAAACCGTTTCACCAGCCCAGCCCCTCACATGATAAGCTGCTCCAGGCCAGAGGGGCTGGGCTGGTGACTTCTGCAGCTCGGAGGCCTGAGGCGTCCACCACAGCTGCTTACCAGAAGGCTCCTCCCAGCCCTGCCCAGCCAGCTCTCCCCAAGCCCTGGACAGCCTCGGCCCGGAGCTCTCCCCGTGAATGGGAGCGGGGGCGAGTCCCAGAGGGGCTGGGCTAGGAAGAGGGGCTCTAGGCAGACACCTGCCCTGCCTCAGTTTCCCCATCTGCCCCAACCCCCCCGGCACTGTTTCGGGTGCCGTAGTCCCACCCACAGACAGGGACACACTGGACCCAACACCAAGGAAGGGACACTGTGAGATGGGCGGCAAGGGCCGGCCTCTGTGGAGTGTTGGCTGAGCAGACTTAGTCAGGTGAGGACAGGAAGAGTGTGCCAGGCAGAGGGGCAGGGTAGGGAAACACACAGCAGCCAAGCCAGGGTGTTGGTCACTTTGATGCCATGGCTTTCACTTAAAGCATGCTTGGAAAGGAATCCACCCCGATGTCTCGTCCTGACCGACGACCTTCCTTACAGACTAGACCTGCTTAACAGGATTTTCTGTGCAGTAACCCTTCCAGACGCAGGTGGCCAAGCCCCTCTTCCACTGTATCGTTAGGTTAGCACTTGAGGGCAAAGAGGCCCTGACGTGTCTGTGATGCTCACGCTGTGTGAAGCCACCAGGTCAGGCGGCTTTGCAGCCTGGGAGCCCCAGGTCCCCCAGGATCAGCCCAGGACCTGCCCAGTGCAGGGCAAGGGCCCCTCACACTACAGATCTGAGGCCCTGAGGCTCAGGGAGCCCGCAAAGGCCCAGGTGGCTCCCGAAGCCCCGCCGACCTTCCACCCAACCTCTGAGGGTGGCCATGCACAGCACAGGTGGACAGGACGCCCCAAGGCCGGCCACAATGACGTCCCCTTCCCCTCCGGCGCCCTGAGGTCCTGGAGGAAAACGACCAGCCCTGGCCTGGCGCCTGGAGCTGGGGCCCGGCTGGAGGTCCATTGTTTGAGGCCGGACCTGGCGGGGAGGGGGGGCAAGCAATGCCCTTAATCCCACTTCTCCCAGACGCAGAGCCCCCGGCGAGGACCCAGGACCCGGGGCACGGCTGTGGTCCCGGCAGGATGAAAGTACGCGCGGCCGTCCTGCTCATCCTGCTGCTGCTGTTAGCGGAGCCAGGTGTGTGGGGTCGGGGGGTACCCGTAGGGCAAGACTGGGGCCCGGGAACAGAGAAGGGAAGAGGCCGGGGTCCTGAGCCCAAAGAGGGGTGGCTAGGTGCTGTGCCATCCGGTCCCCAAAGATCCACAGCCCCAGCCTAGCCAGACCTGCGGGGCAGGGCACTCCACCAGGCATCTGCACCCCAGGCTCAGCCTTCCTTCTCTGCAGGGCTTTGGGGTACCTCTACCTCCCCGGCCTGGGTCTCTTCTGTAAAATGGGCAGGCGGGGGTGAGGACTCCCGGGATGGGGTGAGGTCTGTGGGAGAGGGTCTGGCTCAAGCGGCTGGTGGTGCTGGTCACTGTGATGCCAGGGCGTGTGGGGACAGGAGGCCTGCCAAGGTGGCTGCCCGCAGGGGGCTGGTGGGGAGGAGTAAGATCAGGAGCAGAGGGAAAGGAGAG